TACTGAAATATTTACTGAGGAAATGAAAAGATATCTGAGATTTGCTTCGAAGCTATACAAGGGGCTGGGGTCCAGAGCAGCTGGATTGGCCATGAGTTAATTGTCGAAGTGGGTGATGGGGACATGGATGTTCATTTTACCATTCTAGCTGCTTTTTGTTTATGTTTTTAAATATTCCGTAACAAAAAGTACTCTTTTTTTTTTTTTAAAGAGAGGGTGTTGGTGTCACCCAGGTTGGAGCGCAGTGGCGCTATCATAGCAGCCTCAAACTCCTGGGCTCAAGCGATCCTGCCTTGTAGCTGGGACTACAGGTGCTCCCCATGATGCCTGGCTAATTTTAAAATTTTTTTAGAGAGAGGGTCTCACTGTGTTGCCCAGGCTGGTCTCAAACTCATGGGCTCAAGCGGTCTACCCTCTTCTCAGCCTCCCAGCTTACTGTGATTGTGGGGATTATGGGTGTGAGCCACCACCCCTGGCCACACAAAGCAGTCTTTAAAAGAACAGCACCACACTGTGGGTGGTCTTCTGAAGGTGGCTCTGCTGGTCAACACTGTGTTTCTAAGATTCACTCATCGGGCGGGGCACAGTGGCTTGTGGGGGCTGGGCCTGGAAGGAAGGATGGATGGATGGAAGGCATGTGAGCAGGTGGATGAAGGGACAGGCGAAAACACCTGCCCGAAGCTGCTCGTTTGCTGCGTGCAAAGGTCAGCTGAAAACAGCTGATCTGTATGGACGTCGTTAAAGAAATCAGCACACGGCCCTGGCCCTTTGCACGTGTCCTTGGCGATAAATACGGGGAGGAACTTAGCTGGGGAGGCCATTTTCTCTTGCAGAGTTTGGTCTCTCTCTTTTTCTCTAAACGCTGTGTTTTGGGTAATTATTTCTTCGCTACCGAGCCGGAGTGAAAAGCTGCGACTGCAAGTGGTGACTCCAGCGTGACTCAGGAATCGCGTGTCCAGTGAGCGTTTTGGTTGCCCGGACTCCAAGGGGAATCATCCCGGTAAGGGACGGTCCCGCCGCTGCTTTGGGAAGGGGACCGACGCGTAGTTCAGGGGGGATTTCTAACATGGGGCGGCACCTGACAAAAGATCAGCGAATTGACCTGTGCACTTCGCGACAACTCTTAGAGGCTGCCGGGTGTTGTCGAACCGAAAGCTTTGCAATGACTCTTTGCATAGTAAGACAGCATGGCCCCGGGGTCCCAGGTGAGGGCACGTTAGATTTAGAGCTCTGGGAGCAAGCAGGGAAGGTTTTTAAGAAGAGTTTTGGGCAGGGGGTTCCGGAGCCCCTTGCTGTGTTGACTACACGGAGCCTGGTGCGAACGGCGCTGACTCCCTTCCGTGTTCCTGCGGGTTCTAACCCGTTGGAACCCGCTCCTCCTCCTCCTCCTCCTCCTCCTCCGCAGTTTGCTCCACCTGAGGAGCCGGTGTCCCCTGCCGTAAACTTCCCGAATCCTGAGCCATTCTCTCCACCATCGCCTTCTGTAGCCCAACAGAGGGGAGCAGCTACCTCCTCCTCCTCTCAAAGGGGATCTCTCTTCCTCCCCTGGTAAACCATCCGCTTTTTAACATTGCCTATGAGAGGGCCAGTCTTTATGGGGACGAGATTTGCTAGAACGATGGAATCTTCTAGCTACCCAGCCTTTTCAATAGGGGCCACTGCTCAGGTGCGTCCAATACAACCCACACCTTTACAATGGACGACTGATTGGCCCATCTGGATAGAGCAGTGGCCTATTAAGCAGGATAAATTAAAACATTTAAAATCTCTTGTCCAGGACCAGTTTAAAGCGGGACATACAGACCATTTCGCCGAGCCCATGGAACACTCCTGTATTCGTCGTACTAAAAAGAACGGTAAGTGTTCACTACAGGACCTGAGAGCTCTTAATGCTATTATGGTCCCGATGGGGCCTCTGCAGCCCGGTCTTCCCCAGCTGTCGTTAATTCCAAGAGATTGGCCTTTGATCGTAATTGAGTTAACGCGGGGAAGACGATATGTTTGTGTTCGAACTTCTGCAGGTCCCGAGTGGCTTCCCTTCCAGACGAGTTCACCTACGTCATGAGCTGGAAGAATCGACCCAACAACTCGATTCCACAAATGAAATGGGTCTCCCTACAGCCACCGCCGACGGGGTCCTGCCGC